TTTCCTTTTGAGCAGTTTCTTTCCCTTTCACAGTATCTATTGTACTTTTAGATTTTATTTACTCTTTCAGGTTCTTACACTAGGGAGACAATACAATATTCACATATGTGAGTCTAATTTATTTCACTTATGAGTATAATCTCTAGATGCATTCATTTACCTATAAAAGCATCGAGTTTATCTTTCTTTATAGCTAAGTAATATTCCATTATGTAAAAATGCCACATCTTTCTTATCAATTCCTCAGCTGATGGGCATTTGGATTGCTTCCATGACTTAGCTATTACAAATTGTGCCGCTATAAACATTGGTGCACATACATCAATGTGATATGATTTTTTCAGTTCTTCTGGAAAAATACCCAAAAGGGAAATAGCTGGGTTGAATGGGACCTCTAATCCTAGATTGCTGAGGAATCTCCAAACTGATTTCCACAGTGGTTTCACCAGTCTACACTCCACCAGCAGTGAAGGGTTCCCTTTCCCCGACAGCCTTGCCAGCATTTATTATGGGATGATTTCTTGATGATAGCCATTCTTTCTGGGGTGAGATGGAATCTCAGTGTTGTTTTAATTTGCATTTCTGGAATGACTAATGATCTTGAACGTTTTCTCATGTATTTATTTGCTATTTGTATTTCTTTATCTGAGAAGTGTGTATTCATCTCAGATGCCCATTTCTGTGTTGGGTCTTTGAATTTGGAGGGGCTGATTTTTAAAAATTCTTTATATGTTCTAGATAGAAGTCCTTTGACCAAGGGACAGTTGGGTAAAATTTTTTCCTAATTTGTGGCTTTGCTTTTTCAATAATTTAAAAAAAAATATGCAGGGTCTCACTTTGTTGCTGAGATTGGTCTTGGACCTTGGCTATAAGCAATCCTCCTACCATAGCCCACAACCTCCTGATTTATTGGGACTACAGGTTTGCATCATCACATCAAACCTAACAAATATGTTTTAATCTTTAAGGTGTACAATGTTTTCCCTGCGTTTATTGATTATCTCCCAGGGAGTCACAAAAAAGTACTTAAAAACTTTGCTTATGTAAAAAGTTATGTTTTGGAGAAAGTCAAGGAGCACCAGGAATCCCTGGACATCCACAATCCTCGGGACTTCATTGATTGTTTCCTGATTAGAATGGAACAGGTAAAATGATATTTGCTTGCATTTTGAGGTTCATTGATAAGTTCTATACTTACTGGGAATGTGTAACTGGTCAAGTATGAAACACTTCTTAAGTACCTTAATACCTACTATGTGCATGGATCTGGAGTAAGCATCAGAACTCTTAAACAAATTAGAACACGTGAACTGTTTTTATGTAGTAATAGCCTGGTAAAGGTAAACTGCATGAGGTCTTAGCCACACCAGGACATTCTCGACCTTCTTCAAAAAGGCAAGGGTGGCATCTAAAGTGGTGGAATGGGGGAGGGGCACATTTCACCATTGTTGGAATGGAGAGTGGCAGCTTGATAGTCAGGGAGGACACTGCTAGAAAGCCAGGGAGGGCATTGAAGCAAACTGTTCCAGTCCATGGGGGTTGGGAAAGGGTAAGGGATAGCAAAGGTGGGGACTGCCACTGGAGAAAAATGAAAAAGTGAGGCTCTTCTTGTCAGTCTCCATAGTACATAGGGGATCACTTTAATTCTTCTGTATTTATTTAAGCATTCTTTATGGCTTATAGTCTATTTTGGAAAAAGTTACATTTGCTGTTGAGAAAAATGTATATTCTATTGTTGAACGAAACTCTGTAGATATCTGTTTAGCCCACCTGTTCAGGGGTGTGGTTTAACTCTGATGTTTCTGTGGTTTCTGTCTTGTTGAACTAACCAATTATGAGAGTGGGGTACTGAAGCCCCATTATGATAGTGTTGATATGTATCTGTCCTTTAAGTCTAGTAGTCTTTGTTTTATGAAGTTGGGTGACCTAACATTTGGTGTAATAGATATCTATAATTGTTATCTCTTCCTGTTGAAATATTCCTTTCACCACCATGTACAAGTCATCTTTGTTATTACCTCCATTGTCATATATCATGTATGTGTTTTGTGTAAGAAGAAGGAAAGAGAAAATGGCATCAGCAGTTTATGCTGTTATATCTTTGGCATGAAATATTTTGCATGGTTAACATACTTGCAATAAATGTACAAAATGGAATTTTGAAATAATCAAGAAATAAGGTGTGCAGAAAATGAAGGTTGGGTCAACCAATTCATATTGTGCCATACAATGCAGTGTTATAGTAATAATAATATGGGGTGCATTTTAAAATTTTGCTCATCTTTTGAACTGCCTGATTTATTTTTTAATTTAACATAATGTTAATTAATAATTAAATGATGAAAATTTTAGGAAAAAGACAATAAACATTCTGAATTTACTATGGAAAGCTTGATGGCCACTGTAACTGACCTGTTTGTGGCTGGAACAGAAACAACAAGCACCACGCTGAGATATGGACTCTTGCTCCTGCTAAAGTACCCAGAGGTCACAGGTATGACAATAGAGATGTAGTTAAGGAACTGTGACTCTCTAAATTTTTCTCCAGGTCTTAATTAATGAAATGTCTGTGCTATTCCCTGTCATTTCTACAAATATGATGAAAGAATAAAAATGAGAAAAAATTTAGACAATAGGGGAAAATAAAGAGAGAAGTGAGGTGTGAGCAATAGCAAAACAATCAAGCTGTGGATTTTGGTGACAAAATACACTGAATAAAATGTCTGGATTTTGTAGAAGGGGTGTAATGCAAGCACAGGTAAAGTGAATTGACCTAGCACTGTATGCTGGATGTCTAAGAAACAGAGCACTTTGAATAGTAGTTATGTTCTGAAAACAGGATGCTCTCAGTGGCCAGTTTCCCTCTACCTGTTCATTTGTCAGGAACTCTTTTCTCCTAAAGGAAGGAGAAGCTCTCTCTCTAGAAACTGAATCTCACAGGCCTATTCAGGGACACAAAGAGACAGGGAAAAAATGCACTTAAGTGCTAGAAGTAGGATTAAGTAACAGTCCACATAGTTCTGAGACCCTTAGTTCTTTTCTCCATCTTGTTCCTGAAATTCAGCTGTGGTGTAAACTGCAGAGAGTGAGCAGTGCTGGCGGAAACACCTCCTTTCTGCCCATCTAGAAAGAAAATTCTAACCAAATGTAAGGAAAGTGAATGAAATGAAAGTATTCACCCCAAGACACTGAATTATGGAATTTTAAAGCAGAGAATCAGTGAAACTTTCAGTCATAAAGCAGGTCATATATGAAGATTAAGAATCAGAACGGTAATGCAGTTCTCAAGAGCAGCTGTCATCTTGTGTATTCATAGACAAAGGATATTTTTGTACTTAGAAGTCGGCAAAAAGTTGCTCTCTATTTTTAATTTTTCAGAAAATACTAAAGGATGTATTCCATCCAACTGTCTGAAACCAAAGTAGAGGAAGTCATAGGCTCCAGGAATCAGGCAAGCTCATAGAGGAGGCCATTGGGCACCAGTCCTGGAAGGGGCCAGGTGGAAAGTTGAGTGTGAGGGGAGACACCGAAAACAAAGAGAAATGGTCAATTATTTCATGTCGTTAACAATAGAAAATTATTACTAGGATCTTGAAACATATGTGAACACTTGCAATAATTCTACACTCTCATCTAAAAGTTAGGAATTGAAATAGATACTTTCAAGTCCAAAAATGTACAAAAAATGAAGTATAATTCTAGGTGTTTTATCTGTGAATAATATATTTGAAGTCATATTGATATATACAATGAATATTGATGTAATATGAATTATGATATAATTACATTGAGAAACATGGAGTAAGGGGAAGTGTGTATTTGTGTATGTGTCTGTATATTTTGTATGAGGTGTTGATAGAGATATAAGTCCTCATCACCATTAATAGGAAGTTTTAGAAATTGTCTAAAAGTAGTACTGTCAAGTAACAGAAATACTCATTATGTATAAATATGAACCTAAATTGTGGAAGAAACTTTTGGAATGCTATAGTAAATGCCTTTGAGGAGTGTGAGGATGAGACACATATCATTGCAAGTTGCAAATAAACACACACAATACGCACAAACACATCTACACATACAGATCTCTTAGCAGAATTCAATTTTTTTTTACTGGCATGCATCAATCTATCATTTATTATTTTAATTTGGACAACATACATACATATGTACAAAATACTGTCAGAATCTTCTTGTATAATTTCTTTTGGTTTACAAAAGCAGAACAGCAAAATAACTTGGATCACTAATACTGTAAAAAAATAAAACTGATTAGTTGTAAAGATCAATATCATACAGTATTTCACAAAATTCATCCATTGTAAAAGAACAGCTTGATCTACCTAGACCTAATGGCAAAACCTAATTGTAAACTGAGAAATTAATTAGTTTCTGGAATTATAACGACCACATATAATTCTCAATAGAAGCATGATACGGAGCTTAAAGCCAGGGCACTGTTCCACAATGGCAAAGGGCTTTTTTCTTACCTAACATGGAGAGGAGATATCTTTAACTCTAAAACTACTGAATTTCCAGGACATGACAGCCATCTGCAGTATTAGATAAAAGAACTTTTCCTTCTTTTCAAACAACTGCAATAGTCTTTCAAAAGCTCTGGTTAAAAAAATAGACAAAAATTATTATCGTGCATTTGGATTTTCATGAATTAAATCTAGAATTTAAATTTTAAAGGATCATTGTTACTTTTATATGAAATTAATACTTGTTTTTCAGTTTTCTTTCTGCAAGGACAGTAATTTTTTGAGTCAATATGTATAAGGTATTTATATATTGAAATATTTCATCATTTTTATTCGTATTATCATGTAGAGTAATGTCTAGGTATGTGCAGACTTAGCGTAATACTTAGATTGTAGAAGAATTATGTGTACCCATAGCATAACAATTCTCTCTTCAATTTTAGGTGTACTGATAGCCTTATGATGCTGTTGGCACACATTCATCCATGCTTCGTATAGACTTGTGTTGCTGTGACAGTTATGCCTTATTCTCTTATTCTATCATTTCTTTATTGTGTCTTATCAGCTAAAGTACAAGAAGAGATTGACCGTGTGATTGGCCAAAACCGGAGCCCCTGCATGCAGGACAGGAGCCACATGCCCTACACAGACGCCATGGTGCATGAGATCCAGAGATACATTAACCTCATCCCTAATAACGTGCCCCATGCAGCGACATGTAACCTCAGATTTAGAAACTACTTCATTCCCAAGGTAAGCTTGATTCTCTTATACTGCCCTTCAGTGCTCTGGTAGTTCCCAAATTCACACCATGGCTCCAATTCTCTACCAACACAAGATAATATTAGTGCAAAACTCATACATGTGGCAGCTTGATGGAGTTCGCACTGTTTTTAGAGTTTAGAAAAGTTTGTAGTATGTTTTGATACCTGGTATTGTTCAAATTTGTTCTGCTTTAATAATTGTTTTTATCTATTCTTAGTTATTTATATCTCCAAATAAATGTTAGAAGTCCAGCTTATCAATTTCTCAAGACTGTTTTGAGATTGTTTTCAGGGTAATTAATCAATTTGGAAATTACTGATGTCTTGACATGTTATATCTTTCAATTTATGGATATGATTATGTGTTCAACTTATTTCCTTTTTGAAATTTTCTCAATGTTTTATTTTAAATGCAGTATCTTGAACATCTTAATTTTTTCCTAAATAAATGAGGTATTTTAGTTTATTGCACTTTTTACTTTTCAATATGCCTGTTGTGTCTGACACATGAAAGTATAATTTATTATTTTGATGACCTTATCCCCGGAAAACTTGCTAAATTTACTTAACATGTCAAATACCTTGCTGGTTTATTATTTCTGTCTGCATAATTTGTTACATTTTAATAATTGTTTTATTTCTTATTTTACAACTCATAAATATTTTATTTTTATTTGTTTAAATTAAACTAATTTAAAAACTGATACATAGAACTAGAAAAACTATATATTACTGGGGTACTGCGTGATCCTCATATGCATATATACATTGTGTGATGTTTAAATCAGGTTAAAAATATCTACAGGGTTTCTGCATTAAAATCAAATAAAAATAGATGAAGGAGTTAGATATAGTCCTTCTGAATTTGCTGGAAAAAAAGACTGGTGGATCTCTTGAATACTTAGTCATAGGCAAGGACTTCCTGAACAGAATCTCAGTTATACCAGATATAAAACTATGAATCAACAAATGGGATTATATCAAATTAAAAAGTTTATACATAGCAAAGGAAGAAACCAATAGAATGAAAAGACAAATTACAGGATAGTAAAACATTTTCCCTCAGACAGAGGACCAATATCTAGAATACATAGAAAACTAAAACAGACCAGGCATGGTGGTACATGCCTATAATTCCAGCACTTGGGAGACTGACATAGGAGGATCGCTGTGAGTTTGAGGCCAGCCTGAGCTACATAGTGAGTTCAAGTCCAGCCTGAACTTCATAGCGAGACCCTGCCTTAAAGACAAACAACCACTAACACCACCACCACCACCAACAACAAACAAAAAAACTAAAACAATTCTACTACCCGCAAATAAAAGACCCAATAAAAATTGGCAATTGAAATAAACAGATATTTCTCAAAAGGAGAAGTAGAAATGGCCAATAAGTAGATGACAAAATGTTCAGCATCTCTGGCTATTAGAGAAAAGCAAATCAAGGCAACACTAAAATTTCATCTTATTACAGTATATCCCCAGGAAGTAGCAGTTCAGAGTTCTCGACTTCAGAAGTTTGGGGATTTTCCCTCTAAATTGAACTCACAATTATTTGCAGAAACCCTTGCAATTTGTTGGCTACCACATTAAGCTCCAAAATTGTTTTTTTGGTGGGAGGTTTACAAGTAGCCAATCAGAGAGCATTACTCAGTTCTCCTTTGTGCTGATTGGCTGCTGCTCTGTAGCACATGTCCAACAGGTGCACCACCATTCCTGCATCATTAAAGATTGTTGTGCTGCTGTAGCTATCTAAGGTATTCTCTGTTTTGTTCTTCTTAAACCCTTAAGACCCCTAAGATGCTGCCAAAAAACTCTGTGCCTTCTAAAGCTTCTGGCAATGAACCTAAGCACCAAAAGTTTAAAACACTCCAGGAGAAGGTTGAACTACTGTACAGTATTTTATTAAATTAAATTAGTATACTACTGTACACAATATTTCATTAAAATAAATTGTACAACTTAGAAAGAGATAGTATATTTAGGGTTTACACTAGAAAGATAGGCATTCATAGGCATTTTTCTGACCATATCTGAAATTTGCAGTTTTTCACGATTCGCAGGTGCTGTAGGAATAAAACCCCTGTGACTTTCAGGGTTACTGCACACTGTACAGTAAGAATGGGTATTATCAAGGACTGTAAGAATACCAAATGCTAGTGAGGTTTTGGGGAAAAAGAAACCCTCTTACACTGTTGGTGGGAACATAAACTAGTACAACCACTATGGAAATTAGTACAGAGAGTCTTCAAAAAACTAAATATAGAAATTCCATTTGACCAACTCTATCTCTTCTGGGTATCTTTATGAAAGGGTTAAATAATCATATTATAGTAATATATTTATTACATGTTTATAACAGCACAGTTCACAAATTTTGGAAGTGTTCTATATACCCATAGACAGATGAATAGATGTCTTAGCCATTGTCTTGCTGCTATGACAAAATACCGCAAAACCACAATTTAAAGTAAAAGTTTATTTTGGTTCATGGTTTCAGTCCATGGTCAGCTGACTCCAAGACAAATAAAGCATGAAGATGATACGGCAGTGGAAACTGTTCACGTCAGGGTAGCCAGGAGGCAGAGACAGAAGGGAGGAGTTTGGCATGAGAATACTCACTTTCAGGTTATGCCCACTGACCCACCTCCAACCACACACCACTTTCTGAAAGTACATTTAGCTACAAAGCTCATCAATGGATGAGCCCATTGATGAACATAGCTCCTCTTTTGTCCAAATACCTTTGGGTGAAATATTCAATCTAAGTATAACAAGGGAGAAAGAAAATGTGAACATATACAGTAGACTACTACTCAGACATAAAGAAGTATAAATTTGAGTTATTTGTAGGAAAATGGATGCATCTTGAAAACATAACTTTAAGTGAAGTAAATCAGACACAGAAGTTTAAATAGTATATGATCTCTATAATATGAGAGGATCAAATATAAATAATTTAAAGCAGAAATAAAAGGATATATGGTAGGAAACAGGGATGTAGACTGTGGAGCTGGAAAGAGGACCTCAAAAAGGAGGGAGAGGGGACACTTCAAAGGAAGTGGATGTAAAAATGATCAAGATTTGATATGTACATGTACAAAATTCCCAAGGTGAATGTAATTATTACATATCAATAAGAGACATAGTGCTATTAACCTCCCTTTAAAATACTCCCTCAACAAGAGAAGAATATTGGCAATGAATATTTTACTGTGATAAATTTAAAAAAATTTTTTAAAATTCACTGTTAAAAAATTTATCACAGAAAAATGCTCTTTGCCAATATCCTTCCTCAGAATACTCCCTTTTGCTTTAAATACACCTATTTCATCATTCTTGCCACTTTCTGAGGCAACCCTGGAAATCTTTTGTGATTGTAGCTGCAATGTTGTGACTACCCTAGTGTCCTGAATTAACTCAGCACATGTACCTTTGAAGGTCAGTGTAACTTAGGGGACAAGCCAGAAGTTGCACATACCAGAGCTGATGAGTGAGTTGGATGAGGATGCACTGTAATGTTTTTCTGAGGTTTCCTTTGCATTGGGTGGCACATAGCAGCAGCACTCACTGTTTTTTTTTTTTTTTTATCATACTTGGTAATGACTTTCATGGAAGAGGATATCCAGAACTGTTTCAGAAAGTGGCAATAACAATGGGATAAGTGATCAGAGCAGGGGGGGTGTGGATACTTTGACATTTTAAGGTCTTTTACTGTAAGAATTTTTAAAATTTAAATATTCACCCTATAGTTTGATCACCCCTTGTATGTCCTCAAACATTTACCATTTTCCTGTAGTGAACACATGCAAAATATTTTCTTTTGGATTTTAAAGAAATAGAATACACATTGACTATCTACAACAGATTTATCCAACTCACATCTTGCCTTTTTTGCCCTCTTTTTGATGTTATAATAAAAATATTAAAATGTTTTGTTATTTATATATAGTAATATATGCTTTTGATAAAGGCCAAGATAATTCCTCTTCATTCAGTGTAACCCCAGGGAAACCAAAAGTTTAGATAACCATGGTAGTAGTATCCCCTTACTGTACAATAAATACTCAGCTAGAACTTCTTATTTTTATTTAACTATGACTTAGTACATGTTTTAGTTACTTTTCTCTTGTTGCTGAGATGGAATACCTGAAGAAAAAAATTAAGAAAGGAAAGGTTTAGTTAGCTCACAGTTTGAGGAGGTTTCATTCTATAATCAACTGGCTCCAAGGCATGGTGGCATGGCAGAGGAGCAACAGTTCATGGTGGCCATAAGACAGCAAAAGCAGCAAGAGCAAAGAGGGAGGAGCAAGAGAGCAAGCCTCTTTCCTTCCCCTATATTGTATGCAGGCTACCCACCCCAGAGCAGGTGTCACATTCACACCCATAATCTCAGCACTGGGCCATGAATCAATCAAAAACTCTGGAAGTCTGTCCCATGACTGAATCAGGCTTTGGGGGTACATCTAGACACAAACAGTACACATTGATCAATCTTTCTCCTATCTTCCTTCCCTCCTACTTTCCTCAGACTTTTGTAGTTACCATTTTACTTTCTTTTTTTTTATTTTTTATTTTTAAAGAGTAAAAGAAGGATAACATAATAATGGGGGGGGCTTACGAAATTACAGACAAAGTGGTAGGAAATTATCAATGGTTATTGTTTTACATATTGTTATCTACAAGATAGTTTCTCAGGAAAACA